ATGTTTAGTTTTGGCGTGGTCCTGCTTACTGTTTGTGCGGTCCTGATTACTTTTGAGGTTGGTCCTGCTTAGTGTGTCGGTGTTTTTTTTCGTGGTCCTGTTTTTTTTTAGGGGAATGGTCTTGTTCAGTTTCTCCGTGGTCCTGTTGAGTTGTCTTTTGGTCTTGTTTACTTGTTGCGTGGTCCTGTTTGCTTTTTGGGGTGGTCCTGTTTAGTATCTCTGTGGGCCTTTTTAGTGGTTTGCTTGGTTATGTTGAATGTTCGGTTCGTTTGATTGGTCTCTTTGTGGCCCTGTTTCTTTTTCTCGCGGTCCTTAGTATGTGTTGGTTGGTCCTGTTTTTTTTTTTGGGGGGGGGTCTTGTTCACTTTTCGGCTGTCATTTATGATTTTTAACTACAGGCGGAGGAAGGTTGGATGGTGAAGGTTGGGGGAGGGGTTGGATAATAAGGATGGGCATCCGAGGAAGAGGAGGAGCAGGAAAAGAAGGAGGAGCACGAAGAGGAGGGGTTAGATGATGCAGGATGAGGGAGGGGGGAGGAGGGGGAGTATACAGAGAATGGTGAGCAGCCAGAGAGAACGAGGGCCATGATCAGAACGAGGAGAAGGAAGACGATGACGATGGGGACGAGGACAAGGCATCAACATCATCACCATCACCACGATCATCGTCATCGTGATCACCAGCATCATCAGCGCCAGCGTCATCATCATCATCATCATCATCAGGCCCAGGAAGGTAACATCATATTACCGCGGGCCCTTAATATAATGCTTGCCCCCTTGGTGGCCCGCCCAGTTTTCAACAGCACGACAGCGACCAGCACTTGTCGTCCGCGTCTTTTGTCGACGACGTCAAGGCAGCAGCGATGACCGACAACGGCAACGACATCCACGACCTCACCACAACCATGTGGGGGCACTTGATTCGATCAACCTTGAGCAGATGCCTGCCCATTAACACGGACAAGTCAAAATTCACCGTCTACCCCAACACCGTCGTGGGAAAGCGAGTCGCGCGCACCATGATCCAAGAGGGCCGTAGTATCTCCGACATGGGTTTCACGTTTACCACCACCAGGAGCACTAAGTTACTTGGAGCGATGTTCAACGACAGGAACGGCCTCGGGCAGGAAGTAGCAGCACCGTCCATCGCACTTCGGCAGACAACGGGACCACTACGGAAGACGCTATTCAAAAGACGAGCAGTTACTACCAAAGCTAAGATACATTACCTCGAAGCGTTTGGATACTCGATTCTTCTGTTCAACGCAGGCACCTGGATCACCAGCAAGCAACGCGACACGAACCGACTGACATCAGCATACTATCTGCAGCCAGACAGGTCATAGGCATCACCCACGACCAGATGCGCAACAATCGCATCACCAACCAACGACCAGATCATCGAGAAAGCTGGACTCCCGACACTACAAGAGCGGCTACGACGACTCCGAGTACGACAAGTGACACGAATCGCACGCCAGTGCCCACCATAATTACAAGCGCTAGCGGACTACGATATAGAGCGAAGCGGGGCTTGGACGACTGCAATCAACAACGACCTCCAACATTACTGCCGTCACTGCGACTGCAGCCGGCAGAACAGAGCACCCACCGACATCACGGAGCTCGTCAGCATGGCCAGGAACGACCTCAGCTACCTCAAGTCCACATTTTCCCACGCCTACAAACGCTCGAACGACCATACAATTGAGCAGACAAGACGCGATACTTGGCGGGCAACTATTACGACCTCTGCCGAATCACTTGGACTACTGCAATCACCATGCCAGGCTGACGACGTACACGAAGAGCTCGACCACGAACCACTTATGTGCTACCATTGCGGGGAGACCTTCAAGAACAAAGCAGCCCACAACAAGCGTGTACACACGTAACACACGTACCACAAAAGTGACAACGACATCAGCAACATCGTCAGCGGTGAGACCTGCCAGATCTGCATGAAGTATTGCCACACCGCCAACAGGCTCATCAAGCACGTCAAAGCGTCCGCAACTTGCTCGGCCGCCTGGCGTGCCAGCAGATACAGGGCCAAGCCCGACGGGGTGGAAGCCAGCAGAGAGGAAGGAAGGCGTATCCGACGCAACAGTCGACGTGTTGGCCTCCCTGAAGATTTCGCTGAACAACTACCACTTCAGCTTCACGGACCACTTATCGGGCCCATCATCAACGACCCCGACCCCAGCGCCCCAATCTCGACGCGGACCCCACACGGCAGCCAACAGAACACCAACCACCACCGTTGACACCTGCATCACGACGAATACACGCAGCAGGACAACACCAACAATCATCTTGATCACGACCACTAGCACCACCACCGCCCACGAACTCCCTGGCACCATCCAGCAGCACGTGACCCTGCACGATACCAGCATCGAGACTAACATCATCCGACCAGACAGCGAGAACTACGACGACATGCACAAACGCGCTCACGAGCAGATGGCGAATGGGCGCGTTGCTCTCCATATCATCGACACCAACCTCGAGTCATTCCATGCCGACAACCGATGCCGCACACTGAACCACCCATGGGAACACCAGCAACTCAACCCACAACAGCAGTGCAACAGCACTCGCGACAACCACATCATGTACAACATAATATCGGCGATGTTCACCACACTGGAAGCTGCAACCCCCGCCATCGTGCTTGACAAGACCATACGACACCTGAAGATAGACGAGCACCAGATGCTCAGAAGGCACCCGCACGTGAAGGTCAGCGACAACTACACCTCTGTTATGACCGGCGGACACACGACCAGCCACAACGAGATCGGGGACATCATCGGTGAGACCATCCAACGTGCGGTGGATGCGTCACGACATGCGCAGGATTGGCACTACGACGACAACCTCGACGAGTGCAGGATGCTGATCACCAGGGATGGCACCATGATGGAACCACGACACGCAAACGACCCGCACTACGACGGTACCCTGACGTCCCGCCCGTAACAGGGGCACAGGAACAAGCACAGGAGCAACTCCTACGAGAACGGACAGAGCGCCCACAAGCGGCCGAACTACACCATCCAGAACGCCCCCTCGCGTGGCGAGGGGGAGGAGGAGAATCATCAGGTGTAATGAAGGGCGGCGGCCGCTGGCAGTCGACTTCGGTCGCCCTCCCCCTCGATCGCCCAGGAGGCCCCTCCCTCTCGCTTCCAGGAGGCCCCTCGTCCTCGCTTGTCCTCGCGCGGTCCCGTCGCCCTTTCGTACTTGGGTTTTCGGGGCTCCCGCATTCCTGTCGCCGAGGCCCTCGAGGCATCTCTTTTTCCTGGCTGCGGGGTGCCCAGGAACCCAGAGGCTCTTTGAGTCCCCCTCCAGAGGATCTCTGAGGAAGGGGGTCGTGCGTCGCGCTGCGCGCGACGGGCGCGGGCGCGGCGCGGGCTTCGGCGGAGAAGGACCGCTTTGCCCGCAGTGCCGCAGGAGGAGACGGAGGAGGAAGAGAAAGAGGAGGAGGAGGAGGAGGAGTTGGAAGAAGGGAGGAGGAGGAGGAGGAGGAGGAAAAGGAAGATAAAAAGGAAGATAAAAAGGAGGAGGAGGAGGAGGAGGAGGAGGAGGAGGAGGAGGAGGAGGAGGAGGGGGGGGGACATCGACCTCCAATCGCAATCGCCCATTCGTCGCCGATCGGGGTCTGGGTGCCTCGCCCTGCCCCGGGGAAATGCCGCTCGGGCTCCCCCCCCATCGAGCCGTTTGTCCCCCCTTCACCTGGGGACGCAGCACTTGGGCTACCCGTGGCATCCCTGCTTCTGCGACCCGCCCATCCATGGGCACAGCTCCCCACCCTGCATCCTCGTTCTGGGTTTGACTGTGGGAATCCCCCTGGCCCTCTAGAGCCCAGACGCTGAGGTTGCAGTTTGGCTCAGGAAGGGTCTCCGTCGTCCGCCTTCTATCGCTCCTCGTGCAACCAGGCGCTGCTAGGGCTAAAAAGTGGCATCATTTCCTATTGTTTCAGCGTTTATTCTGGTATTCCTTCGCTGCACCTTCCACCCTCACTGTGGGCACTGACCGTAATATAATACAGGATGACGATCAAGAGATGCTCGGAGGAGCCCGTCGCCTCCAAGACAGCACCAAGACACAGCCCAAGAAGCCCCTCAAGAGGGCCCCCAACCGGGCCCACAGGGCTCCAAGACAGACCAAAGAGCATGAGCAGCAGTTGGAGGAGATACAGCTGGGGGAGGACGAGAAGCAGGAGGAAGACGACGGCGACGAGCTGACGCAGGGAGATCAGGGGTGGACAACCCCCACCCTGATACGTCGATTAGTGAATTGTCCGTTTTCGGTTCTCGAGAGGGCGGCCTGGTCGTCACTTTCCAGGTTTGCGCCCGCCAGGTTTGGCCCGAGGTCGCTTCCCCTAAACCACGCTTTACTACAGGTGGGCGCTGTCCATCCCCGAGGAGCGGAGAAGAAGCTGCACGCGGAGGCGGAGGATGCAGGCGCCACGGTCCAAGGTCATCTAAGCTCGCCTGACTTTTGCAAGGGGGCGTGGAGGAGCAGCAGGAGGAGTGGAACGAGCAGGAGGACGGAGCAGGGACCGCACGGGACACGGACCCAGGTCTGCATCCGCCCCAGAGATTCGCCCCCACAGGCAGTGCCCATCCCGATCCGCTCTGTCCGATTCGGTGCCGATTTCGGCCGCCCCGGCCCGATCCGATTCCGATGTTCTTCCGTCGATGCGGAGCGGCCCGATGCTCGCACGGTGCCGTTGTGCATCATGGCGCAGCCGCCCTGGTTCGAGTTCATTTTCCGTGCCGAGGCAGCCCGATCCGACGCACATTCCCATACGATGTTGACTGATCCTGACAAGTGGTCGGGAAGTTCAAACAAACAACATTCCCTGGCCATTTAAGGTCATGCCGGTTTGGGCTCAAGGGTTTTCTCCAGCGTGCGCATTGTGTCATAACGCATCGCGTTGTATTATACCATAGTCATCTTACAAGAATTGGCCACACGCATTGTATCATAATGCAGGCGCTACAAGATCTAGAGCTGCCATGCCTGCTCGGCAAGGCCATCCAGACAACCAAAGTTGCCAGCAACGGCAACCACTGCAGGCACTGCTGGCTCGACGACGACTTTAACGCCACAGGTGCTCGGTATCGTTGAACCGATCCCCATCCTCATCCCCATCCCCTTCGAGACCCCCACCAAATTGCCCCCCCAGCTGGGGTATGCCTTTCGAAGTTCGAAGGGAACGGCCCATATACCCTTCTAGGGGGGGGTCAATCGGCAAGTGGGGCCCAGGCTACGCCGCTGGGAATGGGGGTCGGATAAACGATGCTCAGAAGCCGGGCGAAGGCTGGCGAACCCGTGGCTTCTAAAACGGAGCTCTGGGAAATTGTTTTCTCCCTCCTGGGAAGCAGTCCGTTTATTATTTAGTGCGCTGAATTTGATTCTGGGAACCTGTTTTTTCCTTCCGGGACGATTGTTTTAGCAGCCACGGATTTGCCAGCCCTCGCCCAGCTTCCAAGATGCTCAGGTGCGACCACCGTCTGCGCGAACACCTCGGATCTGACGCACGCCGCGCGCGGCATCCGCACGGACGCGAGGCGGCAGGAGCGCGCTGAGCTCTCCTCGCTCCTCTTCCTCGCTCCTCTTCCTCGCTGCGTCCTCGCTCCTCCTCCTCCTCCTCGCTCCTCCTCCTCCTCCTCCTCCTCCTCCTCCTCCTCCTCCTCCTCCTCCTCCTCCTCGGCGGGCGCGGCGCCAGGCCCTCGCGAGCCGCTGGCTGGCCTCCCAGGAGCTGGCCGAGGCCCACCCCCCGTTCTGCCCCTGCTGCATGGCCGTCGAGAACCTGGCGCCAGGACGCCGCTTGCGGGCCCCGCCGCGGGGCCGGAGCCGGTGTTGACGGGCTCGTTTTCCATCACCGCTGCCATAGGTAGGAGAGGAGGAGGAGGAGGAGAAGGATGAGGAGGAGGAAGAGGAGGAGGAGGAGGAGGAGGCGGAGGCGGAGGCGGAAGCGGAGGCGCAGGCGGAGGCGGAGGCGGAGGCGGAGGCGGAGGCGGAGGCGGAGGCGGAGGCGGAGGCGG